AAGCCATGTGTGAAAAACTAAGTACACCTTATGATTCAATAGCTTGTAGAGCCACCTTTAGTAGCAGTAACCTGAAGTAATCATTTTCTGTATGACTTCATCAGTCTCTCACATTGCTGTGGAGGAATTTTGGCCCACTTGTCAGGTTCAGCCCAAAGAACTCCACGAGACAATGCAAACACAGTTCTGTTGCGTTTATTAGCTTCCACCTCAAGACAGAGTCTTACCAGACTGAACCCAAGTCCCCAAGCCAGCCAGCCACAACACCATGAATTCCTTAGGGAGGTGCCAGCCTCATCTTCTTGAACTTCCCACGCTCCTGTTGGGGGCTAAGAACATGCTTATCTCCCTTAGCATGGCCTTCATAAGTCCATTCCATCACACCACTCTTCTTTACAACATTGCTTCAGTTCATTGAGGTCCGTGGGCATTTGTTTATGTACAGCTCTTTTGAGGTCCCACCACAGCATTTCAATTGGGTTGAGGCCAGTGTAACATCTTGATTCTTTTCTTTTTCAGCCATTCTGTTGTAGATTTGCTGGTGTGCTTGGGATCATTGTCCTGTTGCATGACACAATGTAGGCCAAGCTTTAGCTGTTGGACAGATGGCCTCACAGTTGACCCTAGAATACTTTGGTATACAGAGGAGTTTAAGGTCGACTCAATGACTGCAAGGTGCCCAGGTCCTGTGGCTGCAAAACAAGCCCAAATCATCACCCCTCCACCACCGTGCTTGACCGTTGGTATGAGATATTTGTGCTGATATGCTGTGTTTGGTTTTCACCAAATGTGGTGCTCTGCATTATAGCCAAACATCTCCACTTTGGTCTTGTCTGTCCAAAGGACAGCATTCCAGAAGTCTTGTGATTTGTTCAGATGCAAGTTTGCAAACCTAAGCCGTGCTCTCTTTTTAGAGAGAAGAGGCTTCCTCCTGGCAACCCTTCCAAACAAACTATACTTGTTCAATCTTTTTCTAATTGTATGGACTTTAACATGACATTCTAAATGTCATGAACTTTAACATTTAACCTGCTAACTGAGGCCTGTAGAGTCTTGGATTTTTTGCAATTTCTCTGAGCATTGCATGGTCTGACCTTGGGGTGAATTTGCTGGGACGTCCACTCCTGGGAAGATTGGCAACTGTCTTAAATGTTTTCCACTTGTGAATAATCTTCATCACTGTAGAATGATGGACTTTAAATTGTTTGGAAATTGCCTTATAATCCTTCCCAGATTGATGGGCAACAACAATTGCTTCTCTAAGGTCACTGCTGATGTCTTTACTATTTGGCATTGTGTTAACACACACCTCAGTGCTCGAGACCAGCAAACTCCTAAAACTTCGGCTTTTGTAGATGTAGACACTCTT